TATCTATCTATCTATCTATCTATCTATCTATCTATCTATCTATCTATCTATCTATCTATCTATCTATCTATCTATCTATCTATCTATCCAAGTAAGCTAAGAAAGAACAAAATAAAAATGATTTGTGATAAAGAAATTTAAATCTTAACTTTAACATGAACTTCTTGTCTATCTTCTGTATCAATATTACCTGGATTTAGTTTCTGATATGATATCAAACTGTACAAGACAGTTTGGTGAAAGGAAAAAAATCTTAAACCCCTGACTTTTTGCGTTTACTAGCTCACAGAAAGTAACAAATGACTGAGATGTACTTAGATGTAGATTGACAGTCAGTTCTCCAGCTGTCGGAGTGATCTGTGAGTTTGCGTGTAATCTTTTGGAGTCAGTGTCAGTGCTGGAAAATGTTGACTTATTGTCTTCTGCAAAAATCATTCTCCAAGGTGAAGGAGTTTACAAAAGATTTTATTTTGTAGATCAAAAATAGACTTACATTTATATGTGTTGTGAGGAGTTGGGTTTGTTTTACCTTTATTGTAAGGGCAACATAAGAGGTAAAAATAAATACAGAAATAATAAGCAAGCACTTACACAGTAAAATAATGCTGAGATAGTAATGAGCATAAAATTAGTCAAGTGAGAAAAAGTCAAATTGATTTTCATCATAAAAACATATTCAATTAATTTATAATTTCTTCAGAATATAGAAAGTGTTCTCAGCTATTTGCCTAATGTGGTAAAACATTTTAAATGTCTTTTTTTTTTAATTAAAATTTTATTTGATGGGGATAATACAGTTTAACATACTTCAGACACTGACTTGCTGTACAGAGAGTTTTTTATTACTCCTAGTTGAACATTTAAATACATGTATTTGAATACATTTAAAGATTTTAGTCTCATAAATACAGTCTAAAGGACTAACACATACATAATACATATTATTATTACTATTGTTAATAATAACAACAACAACAACAACAACAACAACAATAATAATAATAATAATAATAATAACAACAACAATAATAATAATAATAATAACAATAACAACAACAACAACAACAACAACAACAATAATAATAATAATAATAATAATAATAATAACAATAATAATAATAACAGTTCCTGTTCTTCCTTGGTTTTAGCTGACCCCTGAATCATAGAAATGACAAATTGG